TTATAATTGATGGTGAAAGAGAAATACCAATTCAGGACACTCCGGATGATTATCGCGACCTTTATGTTGATTGTTGGAATAATGAGCCTCAAAATAGACCCGTAATTGATGCGATAGTGGAACGTTTAACACTTATAAATAAAAATCAAACCTTGAAGAATGACGATAAACACACTAATAGTATATATTGAATAATTCTACTAAATGATTTTTGTAATCCGCTAGAATATATCTGATTTGAGTTTTGAAAATTTCTTTCTTAGATGAGTCATCAGAGTTATCTGAAACTATCCAAAATGACAACCATCTAGGTTCAAAAAGTAGGTACTTTTCTTTTAAATATTCGTTTATAAATACGAAAGTAGATTTTGACATGTATATTTTCAAATTTAGGTATTTATTTCATAATAGATGACCCTTCTGGCAATTAACTCAATGGATTAAATTATGTCCTTACAAAACTATATAAAAGGAAAAAAAAATAAATTTAAAAATTTTCATCAATACTGTACTATTAAAATGGGGGACTAACATCAAGAAGCCTAATAAATTGGGATTACCCACATAACTTTGGGTCTTGTAACAGCTAACTATAAGACACAAAACCTGTTCACATGCATATACAAGTATTTATATGGAACAATGTTTTTATTCGCTATTTTAAAATGACTAGGCTACTCTTATAGTAATCTAATATAGATAGCAAGTAGGCTTTAAGTCTGAAAATAATAGATTTTATTTCATTTGTTCATGACAGTGTCTGCTCCTAGTAAATACTGTATCAATATAGAAAAAAATCAGATGAATGTATACTAACTTTGTGCGAATTTTAAAATTTTCATAATAAAATATTCAAAATTTCAGCTTCAGCCACCACATTTATTATCATGCACCAGGAACGGGAGTGATACGAATGGAACAAAATGTATGGCTACTCATAGGAGAAATAATGTACGGATGTGAATCTTAAACTTTTAGTCAGAGTGATCATATCACATGCAACAGCAATGGATTCTAATCATGTTTTAAACAAGTATTGAAAATCAGTTATTGCATCGAGATATAGAATTAATGACGATTAAAAAACATTTAATAATCTAATATTAGCACTCCTCATTCAAGATTTCTTTATCGATTAATTTCATCCATATATTTCCTATTTCTGGTTTAGTGCGACTACGTCGAGCAGCTATCTAGTATTCTTAAATTGATCATGGTTCAATACATTTTAATGTATAATTCTATATATGTTTGCATACGCATTGATTTTTCCCTATAAAAAATGGTGCACGGGATTTATGGTCAAATGCAGTTGACAACACGAGAGTATACAGAACTAAACGGAATATAATACGGGGCAGTGCACGGGAAAACATGCTCTGGACACATAAAGAGGCGCGAATTCCGTGCAACAGTGCACGTAATAGTATGCTTTTTTTACGTTCTTTCCCGTGTAATTTCCCGTATAGTTACGTATGTAGCTATATTAATTAAGATCTTTAAAAAATTTTGAATTTCGATTCTCAATATAGGTTATATTTATGTGACTATAAAACATAATTAGGACTTGGTTCTGCGATACGACGTGTATAATTATAAATATGATGAATTTTGAAATGGGCAAAGCGAAGCGAGGCCGAAATCATACAAAAAAAATTGTCAACGACGTTATTTTTATTTTTATTTTTTTTTACAAGCGAAGCGAGACCGAGCCATATAAAGAATGACGTTTATGCGCTTTCCTATTTATATTTAAAACCAGTCTTGTGTACTGAATGGAGTTATTTTATTTTCATTAAAAAAAGTGCTAAATTAAAATCTTAAAAAAAATAAAAATAAAAATAACTTCGACAAAAACAAGTTAGCCCGCGTTAGGTTGGTGCTGATTATAGAGCCGGTCAATGTTTTTTTAAATTCTGTTTGTTAGGATTCTGTTTGAGCACCAGAAATTTGATCGATCACGTGTTTACCGATGATGATAACCTGTTAGGGTGCGCCATATCATAATTAATCAAAACTATGTAAGGTCAATCATTCGAGTTGACATGCAGTCAACAGATCGAAAAGATGGCTAAGCGGTGATGTAACGATCGCCAAGCACGTGGTCAAAGACCGGAGCCACCTCGGCCGGCAGGGGGCCGAACAAAT